CTTTGAGCGAGTCCGTTGCTGCCAGATTAATTAACGAAGCACTCGCCGGGGGCCGGAGGAGGATCAGCAACTCCGTTATCAGGGTAGAGAGCTAATAGACAGATACCCCTGCCTACTTATCTAGCAGTCCACCTCTCGATCAACCGCCTTCTCATCGAACGCCAACTGCCTTCCGTGCGTTTCGCGGTGATCATTAATTAATCGCTCATCGCGGCGATAATTATCAATATTGACGACTCACGTGACGTTATTTGATGTTACCGCGATATGATTCTCTCATTTGCCATTCGTGATAAATACTGAAAGAAAAAGTATCTATAAAATAGTAAATATTTATTCGTTGGATACTCTAACAACGTATTTACTTAAATTTGATTCTTTTATTTAAGTAGAATCAACAGTTGCTTTTATGAAAAGTTGAGGAATTCTTCAGCGCTTTTAAGAAAATGTATATTTTCTTATTTAAAAAATATTTCATATATTACATTAGTAAAAATAATTATATGTTATTATAGTATGGCAGTCAAATAAATCTTTACTATTTCTTAGATATTTTTTTTAGATATTTTTTCTCTTAATGTAGAAACCTCGAGAAAAATACATGATGATTCTATCACAGATACAATGGTTTTCTAATAAGTTTCTAACAAAATATAATTCTAATAATAGATACTATAATTTCTCCTTCCTTTTCACATGTCTGATGCACTGAGAGACAAAATATCTAAGAAATAAATAATGTTTAATCGATGATTACTATAATAGTATATTTACTTATACTAACGAAAAATATTCTTCAAATAAGAAAATGTACATTATCTCAAAACCTTTACTTTTCATGAAAAACAATTGTTTATTCTATTTCTTTCACGCATACAATAAAAGAATTTAAATTTAAATATATATATTTTACTAGTGTCCCTATCAACTAGATATTTTCGTCTTTTAGATATTTTTTATCTCAGTGTATTAATACAAAGATCAAACATACGCGTACTTAGAATTTAAGAAAATAATATTAACATGTGCGAAATAATATACTAATAATAATAACTAGCAATAATAATAATAATAAATAACTAGCAATAATAATAACAATAATAAATAACTAGCAATTAATATATTAACACAAGAAAATAATATGAAAGAATAACGAGTAAAAATCTCGCGGTGAGTCCCGTAGAATTCCGTAGAAGGGCTTGAACGTAGTAATCGTCGCATCGAAATCGTCGACCGTTTATCTCGCGTTACATACAGATCCGACGCCAAAGATTTCGAAGCGTCCATCTAAGTAATTACTGAAGCTTAGGAGCGTCGGGCTTGGGGGCCAGCAATGGTGATTAAACGTGAGATAAGATACAACCACTCTGCCCGTCCCCACCGTCCGCACATGCGACGGACGGACGCGGTTCTTTCTCGTGTTAAACCGAGTCCCTTAATTGAAGTAGCAGCCTTTTGAATATTCCTAATGACGTACGCTACATGAAACGATATAACGCACCGGTAAACTATGGTACTCGAACACGCAAGATCAAGATTCTTGAGTCATACGCAATATTTAAAGTGTGATGTTTGTCTCGACGATATTTATCTCTCTGGTTGATAATTCTTAAGCTATTATCAATCTTCTTACATACATTCGTGACATTTAATTAATCTACGCTCGATACAATCATCCTTAAATTTAAACGATCGTCGAGAGACTGTCGATTTTTCCTTTTTAATTTCGCATACAAAAGAGAAAGCATAAAAGCGGAGAAAAGTCGCGATACCCGATATGATATTTCTTCTCCCAGATTAATTCGCAAAAGGACTGACGCACGCAAATGCGCGGCCTTTCTCCGCGCTAATAGACTCGTCTGGTCTCTTGCGCTTTCGCTTTCTAAAGCACAACGCTGACCCCAACGTTCTGGGGATAATCGACTGAAAATAACCCCAAGAGACGAGCGCCCGGGACCCCCCTGGGTCCCTGATAGACTCGTTCTTCAATACAGCCCGGTGCATCTGTTCCTTTTGAAGAGGACGAATGACTCCGACAATTAGAGGAGCAGCAGAAATCCCATCGAGGAAGACTGCGCCTCCGTCACGACCTGCGTCTTATTTCTCGCTTACAATGATCGGGATCGCCGAGATTACGCGAGATGGTACATCTGCGGAGAATTTTATCCGCAGACGTAATAGAGACCGCATCAATTTCCGTTAACTCTGAGGAACACGAACGAGTTTACGGCGCAAAGTAAATGGATGCACACCTCTGGACGCACGCGACTCTTTGTACATTAACAATTTTAATCGATTTCAATTACTCCAACAAAACGGGAGAATTGTGCTGAAAAAAGGATATTCCCCGTCACTTTTTCCACTGAACAATAGCTTCCTTTCTTAAATTAGAAAGTGGACTTTACAAATATAAACTGGAAAGAAATCCTGTTACATTTTTCCAGAACGAATTAAAATAATCACGCGATTAACATGGAACGAAATATGTGCGTATACAATGCTTATACAATGTTTGAGATGAAAAAACGCATTTGACTTTTTTGTTATAATGGTCGAGGGTCGACGTTAGTACACAGTCGAGTATAATTGGTATCTTTCCTGGTAGAATTTCCTACAGTTAAAGCATTTGCATAACCATAGCGTGCCGGGAATATCTTCTCATCAAACTGATGAGCAGCCAGCGTGGGGCTGTATATTATATATACAAGTTGATAAATTGTCGGGGACAGACACGCTAGGGGTTTGTTCGTTTAATACTCATTCCTGCTCTATACAATAGGAACACGTTGAAGGAAGTGACTTTCTGTCTGATTCAAGCTTAAAACCGCCATGTGTTAATTCGTCTCAATTTCGCAGTGTTAAAACGCCTCTGCGCGCAAACACTACGGATAAAATACGCACGCTCCCCAAACGTGGAAAGAGATATTGGCTATATTTATCGCAATCTATGCAAGTTCAACGAGCAACGCATTATTGCGGGGGGTAGCTCGATCGTGAGACTCCGCGCGGAAACAGAAAGACCCGGTTTGAAAACCGAGCTGATTGCGAGCAGAGCAATGTCATGATTACCAAAGCACAGTCTGCGATCGGCGCGGTTCGCGGTTGAGCGAAAGTGCTAAACGACCAATAAGGAAGTAATAGCAATACACAGAAGGCAGCCAGAGAGCCGTGGCAATGGCAATGGCGAGGGGGTCGAGCCGGAGAAGGGGTGCTCCGCGCGCAATTACGGATTTTGAGTGACAGATGCTCGCCCAGTCGGCAGTCGGAAGATTAAAACAAGTAATCAAAGTCCCGGTAGCCACCCCGGGATGGATATAGATGGATGCACGCCTCCAGTCTCCCCTTTGCCTCCTCGCCTCTCTCCCTCAGTCTTTCTCTCTCTCTCTCTCTTCATTTTGCTACCACTACGTATAGCCCCCGTTTAGCCCCCCTCATTCTCCCTCCCTTGCTGTCGTCGTGTCTCTTCGCTTCGAATCCCCGTACCCCGCGAGTTCTCCTCCTTTACTTACTCCCTCTTGGAAGAAGCAAACCACCAAGGATAAGCCCCGCTACCATAATATCCACCTATAGCCGTCATCAAGGCGCGCCCTGAATGCTCCTTTAAGAAAATGTTCCTTTCGCGAGCAGTCGCGTAGGAAAGTTATTAGGCGTCTTGAAGAGGCGGGTGAGAGAGCAAAGAGAGAAAGAGAGAGAGAGAGAGAGAGAGACCTAAAGATGAGTTATATTCAAACGACGCGAGTACTCTCTACCCTACTTAAAGTGCTAAAAATACATGCAATGTGTCGGTATAATAAAGACTCTTCGAAGTTGATTCCTTGCCTTGAGAGGAATGAGAAATAAACGATGGTCGTTACAACTGCGATAATTGACATCAGATTCGGTTAAAGATAATGGGTATAATAAAAATTAGTCTAGCTGAAGATCGTTTAGGGAGATGTGAGCGCGCAATTACGGCCCGAAACCTTATTGTTACACGCTCGACTGTCCCATAATAGAAGTACTATAAACCAAGGGCGGTGGGCAAGAAATCCCTCGATTAGACTTGACAATACAATGCTGATATAATCTGACCACTTAATAGACAAAATATAATAGCGAATCGGACGATTACGCTCGCGATTTTGTCGTGTGGTGGAGAAGCACAGAACGAATTATTATTTCAGAGAAACTGATAACAATATATATTGATCGTGATTGCAAATGTGCTTTTGATGCACATGCTCGCAAGAATATATCAACGAAAATAAATAAAAATTGTGTCGACAGGTTTCGTAAATTTTACCGCTTATAGAACATATTTTATTAATTTCATCTTATTCCACAAGTGTATCTAAAAATAATATATGGAAATAAACATTTTCTCCTTTTCAGTTTTCATCCGCGCCGATGTACTTTTCCACCTATTTTACACTTTGCGATGATAATGAGGCCGCGCGCTGTGCGACATACGACTTGTTGAAGCGCGGTAGGTAACGCGCGAAACGCAAACACGCTACACAGCGTTGACGCGAATGTGATTAGTCTCGAGATTTTCGCGCGCGCGAGAGAGCGGCGCGCAGCGGGACAAAGGAGGCGAAAGCCAGGCTTAGATTTGAGGGGGCGCGGGATATCTACGCAGGATGAGCCGTTTATCTCAGGCGTCGCTTTTCAGTTTTTCTCCCTCTCGATACGCGACGCTCCTGCCGAGACTACACGTCTCTCGTTACTTTATCCCTTCCTCCAGGATGTTCCCCGAGCCGGCCCACCACCGTCGGCGTGTATATCCTCCTTGCGAAATAATAAGCTCGCTCCGGTAAATTTATCATGAGGCCTCTTAGAAGGCTGCCTCTAGCCGGCGCTCTCGCGACACGCACCCTCTATCCGCTTCATCCGTTTCGCAGTGATATTCTGTGCGATATTAACGATATTTGTAAAATAATCCAAATTCTCGACAAGTGTCGTACACAATAACACGTAATAACAATTTGTCTAGAGTATTGTCCTTTTTGTTTTTATTTTTCTATGATCGCGGTCGATATTGATAGTTATTACTTGAAATTTGTTTCACGTTAGATATTCAGGTCTGAATTTTAAGTTAGATGAGTTTTTCATTTGAATCATATGATATATGTGATATCAGATTTGTAAGCATAATTCGAATGAAAAACTCACATTTAACTCTAAACTCAAATTTGAGCATCTTACGTGAAGAGAGTTTCCAATAATGATTATTAATACGGGTCTAAAATGCTGAGAAATACATACGTTAACGCTAAATACAGATTATCACTGCTGCCTGCTAACGGTATCGCAACAGCTTTCAATTTACATTTCGCTCTACGTTCTAATTATCTTACAGCAACTGTACTCCTAACAAACATTCTCGTGTTTGTGTGTAACTTTAGCAACCAAGTTAATTGCTCTTCATATTCCGTTATATTTTGATGTAAATTGTCCAACAATCATAATAACAGTTTTCTCAAGTGCTAAGTATAAATATTTTGTTGTAAAAAAAATTGGATTATTCGATATAGAAAAAAATTCAACGTAAAAATTTCCATAATTGTTTATATCAACATAAAAAAAAAATTAAATTGACTAACACGAGATTGCTTTTTTTCTTTGTCATTCACTCAGTATCTCATTCTTAAGCTGTCTCTGTTACCTGCACGCTTTCTTAAGCTCGTCGCACGTATTTACACAACAGTACGGGCGTATTATATACATAAAAAGTACAAGATGATATCACACTTTTCAGATTCTATTTCTTATTTTATGTAATAATAATCAATAAAAATATCGGTCCTATGATTTTACATTATGTATTGTATTAACGTATATGATTTTGCATTGTGTATTATGTTACGTTACATCATATTACAAGTTATCATTATACGCAACTTAGAGTAGCGAGTTTATCTAAATATGTTTAGCAAAACAGACGCTTAGTTAACTGTTTCGAAGTATTCTCTGCTGTCCTTTGGATTCGGTTTGATGGTTTTACTTTCCGGCTGCCAGTTCGCAGGGCATACCTCTCCGTGTTTTTCAACAAATTGGAAAGCTCTGATCAATCTCAACGTTTCCTCGACGCTTCTGCCAACCGGAAGATCATTGACGGTAAGCTGTCGGAGTATTCCCTCTGTGTCTATGATGAAGAGACCTCTGAGCGCAATTCCAGAGTCCTGCAGCAAGACATTGTATTTGGCCGATATCTCCTTGTTGAAGTCACTCAGCAAAGGATAACCCAAGTCTCCTCCAAGGCCACCTTGCTTCCTTGGTGTGTTGATCCATGCCAAATGACTGAAGTGCGAGTCTGTTGACACTCCAATCACCTGTGTATTGAGAGCTTCAAAGTCTTTGATGTTCTCACTGAACGCTATGATTTCTGTTGGACAGACAAATGTACTGCAAACAAAACAGAGAAACATGTTGTAGACATGTCAGAAGGACATCTTGTATGATAATTCAATAAGATTGCATACAAATCTAATGGATAGAAAAACAGGACAACATATTTTCCCTTGTAGTCGCTCAATTTGATTTGTTTAAAATCGCCTTTAACCACAGCAGTACCAGCAAACTCTGGTGCAGGTTTCTGGACCTGTGGCAAATTGCCAAGCAGTCTTGAACTCACTGTGAAATTACGAATGCATTCTGCTAACACTGTATTGTTTGTCCTCACTAGTGAACTGGCTCCAGTGGCAACCTGTGAATATGCATATATTGAAAACAGATAAAAATTTTACTTTTGTCTACATTAACATGTAATTTTGGTGGAATGTAATATATACATATATATCTTTTGTAGAATATAACCACATTTTCATGAATCCGCAAAATATTTTGTCTCTATAAATAACATAATAGACTAATGAAACTCAATAACGCTTACCAATTTTCTACCTTGTGATGAAGAAAGTAATCGAAACATCGTAACTAACAAAAACTTTTTAAAATTGCTGTACAATTGTTCGAAGAACTTGTAAAATCGTAGAACCGAAAAATATAGATGCTAGATAGGTTTCGTCAACCACTCTCGCTGACGTGACTCGCATGTGTAAATCCAACAGCCGGTAAGTTCTACATGCCAAGGAAGGTTATGAAACACCAGTCATGCGCAAGATAACGTAGAGAAAATGTAGAATTTTATAAATTCTACCTCATTATATACTAAATGTTATGGTATGTAATCAAGTAAGCAAATATCTGTGATATAACAGAAATAAATATAAAATTGGAAAAGCGAAGTTGGCAGTACTTACTCAAATGAAAAAATTTTTATACATATTGGAAAAAATTCATAAATCATAATTCTTTATAGAAAATTATTATATGTGAAAGTATATACGAAATATATTATGCGTCATTAATTATAGTTAAGAATTTGCGAAATATCGCAGAAAGTTCATGTATAAGTCTTGTGTGAAAAATAGTTAACATGGTCACATATTTATTCTGATAACAACAATATAGGAGTATCTTCATTCTTATTAAATGAGTAAATATATATACATGTATGTATATTTACGTTATGCAAATTCGCGCACAAATATAATAATTACTATCAAAAATGTTTGACTATTCATTGCATTGTTTCTATCGCATTATGTATATGCATTTTAAAATATTAACACTTATTACAAAACTCGATTTACATTTAAACCTAAATATCCTATTTAAGAAAAAAAAAAATACTACTAAATGAATATATTGCAAAATCAAATTATGATGGATTTCGTTTTCTCGATTAATACCTCGAGATGAGCATTGTAAGGATTCGGGATTAGCGAATAAAATAATGGAAGGAATAGTTTATGACATGGAGATAAATTATGATAATCGAGAGCTGCATTATGTTACGATTTTTGTTAGACCATAGAGTACGGACTACTTTCCGAAACAGCCAACTTCCTTTACCAATCGCTAAGAAGACGAATCATCACAATGTGCGTTATCCCTCAATAAATGCGGAATCTTGTGTCCCGCGGCTACACGCGTTATGTCAGTTTAAATAAGTTTATTTTTCTCAATTGGAAGCCGTGGCGGTCGCACTCGGAGCGGGGGCGGAAGGAGCAGGAGTAGCAGGAGCGAGAGCAGCAGGAGCGGGAGCAGCAGGAGCTGACGCAGCAGAAGCTGACGCAGCAATCTCTTCTGTCACGACACGTCGATTCTTCTTTATCCTTTTCCAATCGCCGTTCATATAATTCATCTGGAAATGAGTCTCCACCAACATCTGTACGGTCGTACCGTCTGCTTGCGTTACTTCCTCTATGTTCTCCGACAGCATCACTGTGACTATATTACCCAATTTCGGGCAAGGGTTATCTGCAAGCGAAGTAAAAAGTAACATTATCGATATACAACTCAAGTGCGAAACTTATACGAACTTTTTATCTTTTTAACGTCAATAAACGTACCCCTAGAGCCGGCCATAAAACCTAAAATTAGAGCTTTTTCTGGACGTGTTACTTTATTTGCGGTTCTGAACATTTCCTGTGCCTCCAACATTTGCTCTCGCTGTAATTCGACAAAAAAATAAAAGATAAGTATTTCACAATGTAGGGAAGACCAGAGCTAATTTTAACAGAAACAGATTGTAACGATGCTTCTATTTCATAAAGGAACAGAAATAAAATAAGAATAATAAGAAATAATAAGAAATAGAATAATTTTAAAGATAGAAAACTTTCATCCCACGAGTTTTTTTTTAATAGAAAAGCGTCGTTACAACTTACCTATTTCTTCTACACACACACACATGACTAAATTCTACACATATACATGACTAAATTATAAATAAAATCTCACGCAACTATTTACTGTAAGAAACAGTCCTGTTTTCAGACACGCATTTTTTTTACTTACCGTAAGAGACAGGCCTTTTCTCGTATTAGCAGCCGCACCGGGCTGTGCGGTGGTCTGTATACGAATCTGTGTGACCGTTTGAGTCGGTCTGACTGTTTGTACGGCGACAGGTGCAGTCTCCACGGGAGTTATCACCGTTGTCGTAATCGTTGGTAATGCTGTAGTAGGCGTTGTAGTTATCGTAGTTGTAGTTAACGTAGTGGCTATATAATACAAAAAGAATTTTAAAATCCAGTTAATATAATTCATCGTAAACAAAAATTAGATAATACAATTTTCATAGATCAGGTCGTTGTTCTTTCCTACTTTGGTATTCATACTTTGGCAGACAAGCAGAAAACAGAAAGGCAGAGCCAATCAGAATTCGTACTGGTAGTGGACAGTTTCTGTTTTTCTACCAACGCGAGTTCTGATTGACTTCTATCTTTTTATTTCTGTTAAAGGGTGAATTTTCCTAGAATAAGGGAAAATATTTTCGCTCTTATTAAAAAGTTATACGATTGGATCTTACGTGTTGTCGGCGTGGTTGTAACAACAATGCTGCTTGGTGTACTAGGCGCGACATAAGACTGTGCTGTGGCCACCGGCGCGACGGGAGTGGCGGGTGGATTTATCGGAGCCAGTCCTTGTGCGTATTCCGGAGTCACCGGAGTCTCAACGACCGGCGAAACAGCCGAGGCTGAAGCAGCGGCCGCGGCCGCCGCTTGCGCCTCCGCGACCTTCTTTTGTTGCTCCTCCAGTTCCAGCATCTTTTTTCTCTTCTTTGCTTGGGCATATCCAAGAGGTTGTTCGTTAATGGGTAATAACTTAATACCACCGTCCTTTCGCATCCTATTACTAATCGATGTTCTGTTGGACATGGTTGAACTATTAAGAGAAGTAGACCGAAATCCACTTGTCGGAACTCTGCTAGGAATTCCCTTAAGAGGCGCTGAAAGAAAAGTTCAAATATATGCAATATGTCACTAAAACAATGTGTATGTACTTAGAATGCTTAATCTGGCTTCCACTTTACTGCCACGTCCTTCATAAATTTGTTTCCAACGTTTTGTGAACATTTCACTCTATTTCTTCAGAAAGAGGAGCAATCTCTCTAAAGAAATAAAATGGAATGTTCACAAAACGTCAGATACAAATTTACAAAGGACAGTACCACATCAGAAGACAGATAAAACATCTGCACAGTATATCCACACTGCAGAAGCATAAAATATCAAGTTATGACAATAATATTATGATGTGATAATATCTTTGTACATAACGTTGTTTTGTGTCTTGTTTTATTTGTTATATTTTCTCTTCTAAGATGATATTGTCCCTTAATTACGTTTTACATTAATAAGTAACGTTATTATAAGTAACGTAATAAGTAATGTTAATAAGTTAATAATTAAAATGTTAACAGATCATAAACCATTATTATACCATGTATTGTACCATGTTCATAAATAATTGAATAACATTCAGATTGTGTACTTAGAATTATACGCTTACTTGTGTCAGTCATTTTTCTTGGCATTCCACGGCTTCTTACAGGTACAGTGGGAGCTGTGCTCTTTTTGAGATTACTAGCAGCATCTGTGCTCTTTTGGAGCAATTCTGCTCTTAAGGCTGCACTCTTTGGCTTCCTCTTAAGAGTGAAATGTTTGATCGGTGTGGGTTGCTGACCCACTACCGATGTCAATGCAGTCTTGTTGAGATAATGACATTCCAGAGGAAGCATAGCTGGATCATTCTGCTTTTTCAGAAGTTTCCGTAAATCATTGACCAATTCGCCAAAGATTGGCCTGTGTTCTTCTAGGTCGCTGATATCTGTGTTTAATGAGCCTGTTGATGGAAACGTTTTCATCGCTTCGGATAGCATTGATACCCATAGCTCTCCATCCAATATTGCAACTTCGATAATTTCTTCCAGTTCCACACGCCACTGTCAACATCAATTTTATAAATATTAATATTCAGATCTTAATAAAATAAGTATTGAAGGAGGAGAGAGGAGAAAACAATTGCTGCATTTAACAGAAAAATTTATTTTATTTGTGTAAAATTTGTAAACTTGATTGATATATGCTCTCAAATTCGATCAGGATTAAGAATATACAATCAGATTCAGAAATTTTACAACAGTTACAAAGAAGCTTTCTCTACTGAACAATATATAGTTATGGATAGACAGCTTGTTTGCATTTTATTTACAAATTTAAGAGTGTATCCATCTTATTCAATAGAAAAAAACTGTTTATTACTAGAAGAATTCTTCTACTAAACAGATCAAATAGCTTTCTAAACTGATAACAAAAAAGGTATATTACCTATTTATTTAGGACTATATGTTTACATATACAATCTTATAATGATAATCTAGGTACTTAGTATGATGCATCATTGTACAGTTTTTTTACTATGTATTATACCTGCGTAAGGACGACATAACAATAACAACACTATCGTTAAAAGTTACAGAATCAGGCTATAGTATACAGATTTTCATATTCATCAGATTTTCTCGTCACGGGAATGCAGGGAAAAGTAGTAAATTAAACCACAAGCCTCAGGCTAAGCGCGATTGAAACTTAGTTTGTTCAATAATTCAAGAAATCACAGTTTCATTGTAAATATAGTGTAACTCTACATAAGTAAACCTCTATACTAAACATTTCAAAAACATCATCGAGAATTGAGGCAAGTTAAATAGATGGCGGGTAGATGATAAACGTTCGACGCATTGTTAATTTTACGCACGTTACTCGCGATCCCGTTTCGATCAGAGGAAACAATATTCATCGAAAGCGTTCGCGGCAACTGGCGAAGAAAACGAACACTTGCTTACCTCTTCGACATTCCGTCTGGGTATGTGGAAGAACGAGAGTAGTAATTTAAGCTTAACCTGTGTCTGCAGGTCGGGAAAACAGTCCTTAATGTTGCGTAGCACTTCGGCATTGAGCTGCGAGCAAATTGAGCTACCAGTCCAGCTATCGTTCGACGTGCCAAGTTTATTATGTAGCCACAACGATGTATCGCTATCCCTCACGTTCGCCATATTGGAATCTTCTGTTTGCTTCTGGCGGCTGTCGTACTTCGCCACAGTTGCGCCACGTGCGCTTTCCCGCCACAAAGCAACGCGCAGGCGTGCATCGTACCTGACAGCACTGCAACCAAAGTTTATTCCTTTTAGCTACGCCAGCGCAACATTGGATCCCTTCTCCTTTTCGGCTCCTGCACACAGGACGCGGTAATGCTTGCCGCGCGGCGGAAGTCCGCGCGACAGCCAATCAATATGCTGCTTTCCGTAATAACCTTCTAGCTCTTATAGAAAAACAATATATTAATTAGCTGTCGCGCGGACTTCCGCCGCGCGGCAAGCATTACCGCGCCCTGTATGCAGGAGCCATTACGTATACGCAAAAATTTCAAGCCCTAATTTATTGCACCAGTTCAGCAGCACTAAAAAGAACGCACACTTTGAGTTCAATGGCGAACACTTGCCAACTATTTGGTAAAAGAGTCAAAGCGCAGGTCTGCAACCATTAAAGAGAAAGATTTGCCAACAATAGAAGAAAGTGCGCATTTATTCTTTGAACGGTTTTAAAATTGTAATCGAAAACAATGAATGGAATCACATCTTCACAAGAATCTATGTTGTTTGACGAAGAAACTTTCAGTGAAATACAGACTGATCTGTGAGTAATATCTTTAATATTTGTTAAAATTTGCCGGTTAATTGCCGGCGTCCTTTTGACACATCCAGTCTATGTTCGGATATTCTTAATCCAGATACACACAAAGGAAATTATACTTTCATGATGTATATATGAGGTGTCGCAATGTGTTCTATTCTTATGCTTTTTTTTTGTTCTATATGTACAGCAGAGATACTGCCTACAGTAATTTACTCATGTTAGAAGACAAAGATCTGTTCGAAATGACTCTGAAACGTGGCATTTCTGAGGAAAAATTGGGAGAGTTTTTAAACGGAAGGAAAAGGATAAAAAAAGAAGAAACCGAACAGATGTTAATTTCCTCAACTGAGATAACGCAACAATGTGATGATACCTTTGCTGGAAATTTAAATTTCCAATATAGTTTTGCTGACAATGGTACTGGACAAGATTGGGCGGTAAGTATACCAATTAACTCAAATTATATATGAATAAATGTAATATACATGAGAAATATTGAGAAATAATCACATTATAGAGGCATTAAGTTAGACTATGGTTGGAATTCATAGTCAGGTCTTATATTTAAGACCATCTTAGGTTCCCTTCCAAAAATACTCTATAACCATTGAAATGTTTCATACAAAATGAAATTAAGATGGTTGTAATATAAGATCTAATATCTTCGACTATGAATACTAGCGTATATCTAGATTTTGTAATTTTTTGAGATTATATGAAGTTTATTATTGAGTGACAACTTCTTGCAGATTAATTCTGCCTCTTTAAGAATAAATATGATAATTTCAAAGTCTTCATTGTTGGTTACATAATTGTCATAATTCTCATTTTTACAATATAGAAATTCCATATAAACTACAAATACAAGTCTTTTGTGTATTATCTTACAACATACATGAAGCTGAGAATGGATACTGAAAGTAAGATATCTTGGTGATTTATTTTATGCTTTGCTATAGAGACAAATTATTAATTTCTCACAAAAGTACAGACGAATCTGCTTAAATCTAGATCAGGTTATCACAAAAGAAACTAATGCACTAACTTACCTGTAAAATCATGTTTAAGCAGATTTTACATTTAAGTGCACCTGTGTAGTAGATAGACTAGGTAAAAGTATGCATGACTTTTAGATAGAAGTGTGCATAACATGACCTTAAAAATGATGTGTAATAAAGTACTATCTCTTAGATTATAGGGGCTTTATGATCTGTTATGTTTGATACAAGTTATTTATTATTGAAGTTGTTTATATAGCATTAATCTAATTTTTGTTTCTATCTCTTTCTTGCATCTAGTACTCTCAAATCCTGGATAAACTCTTTATCAAAATGGAGAAAGTCTTGCCTTTGAGATTTATATGGGAGCCACCGATGGAAGGCTTGTTCTTGCGCACTGCCATCATGTTCAAGTTAGAACAATTTAGAAATGATCCTGTCAGAAGATGTTATAACCACATGGCTGATTCACATAGCTTTAATCAAAACATAGATGATCAGAAAAAAAAACATGTGGTTCATTGCGTTAATCATTCTGCGTCCATTTATATAGAGAAAAATGAACATCTCTCTATTTTAACTCCGCTTCGCACACACGAGCCAGGCTCATCTTATATGCCAATGTGCTATAAGTTTCTTTGCAAGAATAGCTGCCCTTCCGGTATGAATCGAAGACCAACAGAACTTGTGTTTACTCTAGAAAATGACAAAGGTGTAATTTTGGGCCGTCGCAAATTATTAATTAGAATATGTAGTTGTCCTAAGCGAGATAAGCAAAAAGAAGAAACTGAATTATTATCTGACAATCTTGGTAACAATCAAGTGACCAAACGAAAATCGACAAAGCATCCTTTACACTCTGGTAAAAAGATGCCGTCGTTGTGCGACCAGCATGTCTATAAAGTTCAAATAAATATTGTGGGCAAAGAAAATTATTTAGCTGTACTTAAATATGCTTATGACATAATGGCTGGTCAGGCAGTGAAAACAGGCCAGTATGAACTTTTCAAACCATACATGGATGATATACTCCATAATACACCTTAATATGTTAACCTAATATGTTATGCATGTTTTTTCTCATTTTATTCTTTTTATGAATTTGTAATTAAATTTTAAGTATTAAGTAAGGAGAGCTTTTTATACTTTTATAACTTGTTCAAGTTGATGATCCAACTTATATGTTTTAACCATTTTTAGCTAAAGTAAAAACTTTTATGTCTTATAAGTGATATACGTAGATCGATATTTATAGTTGGATCTTATATTTAAGACCATCTTAAGTTTATCTTTAAATGCTGTACAGATTATTTCATTGACTATAGAGTATTTGAAGATAACTTGAAGAAACTTAATACAATCTTAAATATAAGATCTAACTATGAATACTGTCCTTAAATTCTATTTTTTTACTGCATGTATTGTTTTAAATATATATGTATAATAGTATGTGAATTGATACTCTTGCATGAGAAAAGATATTGAATAAAAAAATTAATAAAAAGATAAATTCAAAAATTGTATTAGTATTGACTATCATATTGACGCATTATAAATAAATTCTGTACTGATTTTGTCATATTATTCAATAACTTCTCTCTCAATAGATCAAGGCGTTTATTTCTAAGTAAAATCGATTGCAATGTTACACATTATGGTATACTATTTCTCATTTTCATGATAGATTTCATAAGTATCAATCAATATGATGCTATAGAGCTCTTGTTGGTTATGTCACTTGTTAATCTATAGTATCATATCAACAAGAAATAAATAAATTCATGTTACATTTTCTCACAATAGATTCTTATTGAGTACTTCAATACATATTTTATTCACAAAGATGATTTTAACTGATGGCTTGACTAGAAAGTTTTTTTTTTCAGATTTTTACTACTTGTTTAAGTTAATGACTCAATTTATAAGTTTTAACCGTTTTTGCGTTAACATAAAAACTCGTATTTTAGAAATATCGTAGTTCTCTATTTTATTATAGTTTGCATGTTTCTTTTATTAATAGTGTGTGAATTGATACTCCTGCACAAGAGAAGATAAAATAAAAAATTGTATTGATATTAAATCGTTTATCAATGCTAAATTTTGTGTCAGTTTTGTCATATTATTCAATAACTTCTCTCTTGATAGAACAATAGGTTTGAGTAAAACCGATCGCAACATTATACATTAGATTTTATAAGTACCAGTCAATGTGATACTATAGAGCCCTTATTGATTACGTCACTTGTTAATCTATAGTATTATATTTCTTAACAAAAAATAAATGATGTTTCATGATACATTTTTTCACATTAAATCCTTATGGAGTGCGCACCTTACTTATAAAGATAAGTTTAACCAGGACGGCATAGTCACTCTCTCCGTTCATTCTCTTCTCACACGTAGAAATTATTATGAGCACGTTGATTCATTATACATATATTCAAAGTTTTCAGTGATAATGATTTCGGCAACGGAACGATGTGATGGGGAGACAGTGTCATAGGAATTTCCAAATACGCGGCATATCGTCGAAAATATACTTCAGATTCTCTATCGTTCCGTCCATGCAGTGTCCATTCAATTTCGTTGTTCGTGCATGGCATCGTAGTAGTCATCCATGCAGCTCCTTCTGTGCACTAGAAAAACACATTACAAAGAATTATCGTTTAACACATTCACGAACGCAAGCGACTAGTTGAAAGTATATAATACATTATTATGTTATATACTAATAAAAACCACATCTCTACACATCGATACGAAACTAGCAGACCTACTGTTCTATACTTTTAATGACAGTATCGTTGTTACGTTGTTATCTGTCCTTTGTCTGTGCCTATCTATGCCTTTTTATCTATCGATAACGTAACAATACATTCAAAATTAATATACAGAATAGGCCTATATATGTCTATGATATCGTTAGACATTCTAAGTCATTAAATTATCATTAAGTACAAAATCAAGAGTGTGAATAATAATAATGTTTTCTTATTAGGTAAATAGATCATAGATTTTCGTTGAAAATAAAATCGTTCCATGGGAAATGCGGCCATACCTGGAAGAAGAACATATAGCCATCGTGATGAAGGATATAGAAGACGTCGCGGCCGAAAGGAATCGGTAACGGAATCGTCGCAGTTCTGGAGTAGAAATGAACCTGCGGTATCTGGTGGTTCTTGATATGCTCTAGTAGTGAGTGTTGGTTCACTGTCTCGTTACACAACTGTAAACGAGGGCAGAGCAGCGGTGTGTAGGACACGGAGTCCGTGGAGCCGCCGAAGATCGGCATTTGCAGCGAACTCAACGACTGCTGGCTAGCTGTGGGTCTGACGTATGATTCTCGGCTCGATCCGGCGATTTGTAACGACGACATTGTCGAATCGATGCGTTGATCTCTGAGATTGTCCCGTGACAACTCGCCGGTACTTGCTGATTTAGCACGATCGACAATAGACAGTCGCAGCAAGTTGTCGACAAGTTGTCCTGTTCTGTGGGAATCGGCTGCGGCTTCTTTCCCAATCTCCGACAATCTCGTCAGATTATCCGCGGAAGCGGCCTTCTCCTTGCTTCCCAGCAGCAACCTGGTTAGTAAGAACTGCTTAGGCTTCGATATGCTGCGACTATTCATCACAACCAACGTTTCCTCTTGCTTCTTGTTTTTACAACTGAACAATTGATCGCATAAGTTGCGGCGAACAGATGCGACGCTTTTCTCTGTCATCTGACTATTGTTCGCGTCGAAGTAGGTTTCGCGGAGCACCCGGTGCAAATTGTCCGCGAGAAGACACCGTCCCTGGGCGAGCTGGACTCTGCAGATGGGACAACGCGTCATCTTCGGTCTGCAGGTCACGCACAGGATGTGACCATGAACGCATTGCGAGACGGACGGCGCAGCAGTTTGCAAACAGATCGGGCACTCCAGGACGCGGACCTAAAAGAGAAGATTTTTCTTCAACGCATTGCGATCAGTTTTATAGGCTAACATCGCGAGAAAAGATCGCCTAATGTGAGGAATTGATTATAAAAGAAATGGCGCTACGATAAAGTTTTTTCGAAAACTCCGTGGCAGTTAACGTTTTAAACAATCTTCGATTCAAATGTGGACGCACCATTCCTGACAATGCAGACACGAGATTCTTTGCTACATCCGGAAGTGGGCCTTTTAAGGCTAGTCCGACATCGTCTTGTGCTTCTTCCTGAGGCGGACATCTCCAGACGGTAATAATGATACAGTCATTGTCGTCTTCCCTGCGAATCAACGTAGCGACGTCTGCTACTCTTAAACCTACCAAGTCGATACCGTCCACGCTCAAGAGGCAATCCCCAGTTCTGATAGACACATCGCATGATTTAGTTAAAGTTTCGTCGAGAAATATGTATAGTCTACGCAATATTTATAAGCGTTTTGTACGAATGAAGAGGTTGAAATAATTTTTACTAATCGAACAGATTTGATTTTCTTGTCATATCGTCAAGTTCTCAAACATATAAGACTAGTGGTGCGATTCTGTAACTCTTAACGACAGTGTCATCGTTATGTTGTCTTTGCGTGAGTATAATATATGAAAGAGCAATAACAACGTAATAACGTGTAACGACAATATAACAATAATGATACTGTCATTAAAGACCAGTTTTTTAATGATAGTTTAAACTTAGATTTCAACTTAAACTCTGTTTAAATAAAACAAACGCATTGTTAGAATACAGTTTAAACTTGAATCCAAGTTTAAAATGCTATTGAAAAACCAGCCCTTAGAGTTACAGAATCACACCATAAAATTCGTGTTGATAGTCATTGCTTGACACTTGTCGCACGTGAGACGTTCGGATTTGAATTTAGAGTCGGATCTGAATTTTTCAATTGAATTATATGATACGTGACATTATACTGGCGATTGCAAATTCAACTAAAAAACTCACATCTAATCTTAAATTCAAGAAAAGCTGTACGCTCATTGGATATCGCATATCGTATGTCGCGTCACGCTGACTGTGAGAGTCATTAACTAGTAAAGTGACTACAACACCTGTATGTACAGGTATTGTACAGTCACTTTATCCGTACTTTTGTTTTACTTAAGAGCGATGATTTTTTAACTTTCATGTTTTGCGTAATAAAATACAATATTCGGAAGGCAAATCGGTGAGGAAACCCGTTTCCTTGACATTTACCAAATTCTCATCTCTCTGAATTCAAATCTGACTTGAAAAGTACGGGTCTTATATTTCAAATTACATCGTTGATACGTTTGGAGAAATCCAAGAATTGTGAGTTTTGATATTGTGTACTGATAATCTGATAATCTTGCAAAAAACGTAAAGTGCACCTCAACCCAGTCGAATGAGCGAGACTGCCGTTTTCGACATAGGTGATCCACGGAAATGGATCCCATCTCGATTTCGTCAAGTGAAAACCGAGAGAATGATCGGATGCTTCATTTATTCTTCGCATTCTGAGTATTATCTTTCCCGATGCAAGCGCATCGGCGTCTTCCTCGGGTGAGGATGTCACGATCTTCACGCCCGCCGCTTCCGCCAGGACCTCGGGACACGAGATACGCGACATTTTCTTTCACACAGCCAGGAATTACTATATTTTTTGACAGCATAAATATCTCTCGACAATATGAATTAGCAATAATGTGTGAATAAATATTTTGGAGTCACTTTTACATGTAAACAAATAATAATTCACAATGTACGCTGAAAAGATTGGTCTATTTTATTCGTTCAATTTTTTAATTCGTATAATTCACTGAGTACTCAATGCGCGCATATCACACGTTAATCCACACTTTTATCTCCGGGCCAACTTCGAACGAGATCGATACTGTGGAAGCGATCGCGTCAGGCACATCTCGAGAAGAGAGAAAAGTTACTCGCCTGTTTACCTTCACCTATTTGTACGCTCTTGACATTGATTCTTACGTCATACCGTGATGAAATCGCTGTTTCCCTTTTACTCTAACATACCAAAGAGTTTGTATTCTTAAGAATGTTTTCAGCCGGAACAACTACAGCAATTACACATTTTAGGCGCACAACGCATATATTATACAAATGCAATATGAGGAGATAATCGAGCAGGTTTTGCGATATATATACTTGTATATATATATACATATCTTTTATGATACAAACAAAAATAATAATACTTTGTATACCTTAGACTTTTACACGATTACACGATTGAAGTGTGAAAAGTATATACATCAAGTACTTTGTACAATAAAACTGAATATACAGAAGCTTTGTATAGGGCCTTAACATAATAATTGCTTTATAATAGTCTTGGTATATATCTTTTTAAATCTACTATTTAATGATATTTTCAACTTGGAAGAACATACACTTAGATTGTCGTTGGTAGGGCCAATTCAGTAGTAAATATAACCTAACAAAAAAGCAATAATTAAATATTATAATAAATTTATAGTGATATATATAAATAAAGACCACGACACATATAACAGAACTTTAATGTAATTAAAAAAAATATTACAGTCTTTGTTATATAATGTAATATATTAATATTAATTTTCAAAAAGAGGAAACAATACGCATAACTGAATAAAATTGAAGTGTTATTTCATTTTCCTCTGAATATAAATAAATTTTAAATAAATATTAAATAAAAGTGTAATACCTGATGTCAGCCCTGGTTATTGATAATCAGATGATTGCTTAAAATAAAATCAATGCAGATATTGTAATGAGCAATCTTATATATTCACATGTATAAAAAATTATATAGAGTCGACCTAGTTTCACACGCACACACACACATACACATCAAGTCACTACTGATACAAAATATTGAGACATTGGTTCAATGTGTGCAGAGTTGTGTGCGCTGTTGCTTTGAGAACTAAGAGATCTGGATCTAGGTGCAGATCTGAGTTCTCAATGGACTGTGCCAAAGCAAGATTATACTTCTCTGCTTTCCTCAATTGTTCTTGGCAATTGGCAAAAGCATCCAGTACTTCCAACTTAACGACAGGATTCCTACTCGAATTTCCCGAATGTTCTCGAGGAGGTAAGGGAGGATGGCTGCTGGCTATAGCCCTGGTATACATTTCCGTAACAGCTCGCAGCTTGTCTACCCATTCCTGACGAGCTCGTGCATCAGTGGCCCTCAGCTTGATCATGTCACCTTGAAAGATATGAAGAAACAGAATTATACATACATTACTTATTTATATTTAAATATACATATAAGTTAATTTATATATAATATATAAACATTAAAGACATATTCACCTGTAGCAGAGTTAACCGTGAATGTGTTTGAATCCTCATCGCTGGGAGCTATCACTGCCCCTGCTAGATATATCGAACATCGAGGTCTCTGATTCTTCTCGGATTCACTAAGGAAGTAATGCAGCTCACCGGTTTCGGGGCTCAGAATGAACCAACGATATTGCCAGCCTTTCATAGCATTTGTATACTTGTGCAACAGACCCTCGTAAGGGTGTCTCGTTTGTACGTTCATCATTTGTCACTTTGTCCGTCCTTTTGGAAGCCTTTTACTTTTCGAAGTATCTGAAGATCCTTCGCATGATGTGTCATCTGACTAACGTGATTGTGTACACAACGTTCAGGAGGGTTAGGTACGTCAAGCTAAATAGGTTTAGTTAGGATAGATTTTTTATTAGATTTTATTATTACACTTTATCTCTCATTTAACTCGTTTTCAAATTAGTTCCGTTCAAATTTCTTTTTTTTCGATAATGTAATTTTACATCAGATGAGAACTTTTACTTGTTAATAAAGATAAATTTATACAAATCAGCTGTTTAAATTGTATAGTAAAAACAGATTCATTTAATCTTAAATTGTTAAGATTGATTAAGATTGTTTTATTAAAAAGTAAGTCGAATTAATTGAAAATAAATATTTATATCTGATATATCATCATACTACTTGAAGATATTAGTCTGCCTGACTTATTGTTGAGTCATACTACGTCAGTTGACCATTGAAAACTGTGGCGACTCATAGCGAAGGCTTTGGAACTAAATTTTGAAATTCAGGAGAGCAAATCTGTAGAACTTCAAAGGATGGTATTTTTATACGATTTAAAAAAATGAGACTATTATTATTAATGTTTATATATGAAATATAATGTTAAATGTAATTGTACAAAAAATGAGCTATATTGCATAGTGCAAAACAGTAAATTTGTACATAAATTACATTTATATATGTATATATATATATATATATATGTATACACACAAGATATCCCACCATTCGTAGAAGAGGTATTCTCATTAAAAGAATAAGATATAGAATAGATTAGCTTTTTGTGAACGTAATTAGTTCTGACAAAATTAATCTATCAACTTTTAACAAACGACGCAAATATCATTGACGATTGATGTAAGCTTTAAAAGACATTGTTAACCTTTTCAATTGCAGAGATAAAATCTTCAACACACGAGATATCTTGTACATCAATAATATGCAGTCTAGCTTTGTGGCGACGTTCGTGTCGGAGTCTTCCTTTTTCTCAAGTATTTATAGGTGTCTTTTGACAACAGATAACTGACACCTCCTGCAATTGTTGTAAGTGCTGTCAAGTAACACAGACCTTGTAAGACTGGGTGGTCTATAAAATGGAAAATTGGAGCAGCCAATGTCCCAGCAACAAGAGTCAATTGCATTCCAGTGTTCAACTTGCTTGTCAACGTTGGTGCTAATTGCACCGTGGCATGTGTAGGATCAAAGTACCTTGCTAAGGTTTTCTGAAACCATTGCATTTACATAAAATACAATTCTTGATAGATTGAGACATATATGTGCATAAGAATTGATAGTCATGATACATACTGGTGGAGGTAAGGAACGATATCTGATGTAGGATGCAGCAGCTACTAGAGCAACATCACGCGTAACCACAAGACAGGTGAGTGGCACTGGAATTAAGCCAACCCATGCTAGTGAGAGGAACAATGTTCCAACGAGTAATTTGTCTGCAACAGGATCCAGAAAGCTACCAAGTTTAGAAGCTTGGGAGGTCCAAGTGCGTGCAATCCATCCATCAGCTAGATCACTGAGTCCTGCAAATGTAAGCAAGCACAGCGCTATCTGTGCCACAGTAGGTATTATTAAAGAAATATTTCTTAACATTTCCTAACATTGTATTTTAACATTTTTAATTAATTTTCTTAACATTTTAATGAATAAGTTACATATGTAATTGTATCTTAATGAAATGTATTAATGAGTATACTTTTATCAAAATGTTAAATTGTCATACCTGATAATCGTGTGACACGATTAAATAACTCAAAAATGGCGATGTCACAATGCGACCTATGCATAACAGATTTGGCACAGTCCAGATGTTCTCCTTTTCAATGATCTTTTCCACATTCTTTCTTGTTTGCTTAAGATCTTGCAGTAAACGCGTTCGCAAGGTTTTCCTATGGATATTTCGTTCTTTTATGCCAGCATAATGTTTATAACGATTCTCAGTTGCTACAACGTAAAGTCTGCTTTGGCATATTTGATATTGCCTCAAACATTGCTCTATCAAGCACCTGTTTACAATTGCACGTTGTCTCAATGGCAATATACTAAAATAGTTCATAATTATTTGTTCGTATATCCTAAAGAATAAGTGAAATTATTAGATATCTTTTTCAATTAATGTGACTTAATAAATACAAAATCTAAGAATTCGCAGAAAGTGGACATGCGGCGTTACTTCTGAGAATTTTCGACACGACTTTCTTCTTTAACGAAAGTATTGCTGACAGTTAATGAAAGTTGATGAAATATATGTTGATAATTTTGGAATTTTCCTTAAACCATCGTGTCATTTCAAGCTTGAATTTTACTACAACGAGATTCTAATCCGAACCTAATTCTCAGCCATTACAAAAATACCGTAGAAATTTCATCGAAATTTACAAATTTATGAAAAATAAAATGACGATCATCCTTGATGTACTCATTGAAAAAGATCTGCATTCTACATTGTATGCAAGAAAATAACACTGCTCTGTGTGCTCTCCCTGCGATTCCTGAGACATTTCACATGAATATTGCGACGTGCGAGACGCCTCGGGCGTAAATTTGATTTCATGCTACATACAAAATTCGCGTGTGTTACTATTGTGCATATCTCGAGACCGGGGCATTCATTTTTGAGGTTAAACTTTGGAACGCAAACAAAACACGCTAGATTCCTCCACTACTGCCTCCGAACTTAAATGAATACAATCGCGCATGGTAGTAAGGAAGCTCACCGAATATCGATACACTTGTGCTTGAAAGTGAGGGAATTTACGTGATACAATAACAAAGTTAAGGGATGTATCGCGAATTAAAAGCAAGCAGAGGCTGCTTATTACAATGCCCGCGATGAATATTAATTTTGCAATAAAAATATTGAAATTCATTTTGCAAATCTCCCGCCAATGGCTGTGCTTCGTTCGATGATCGATCCCTCTGCTATTGTGAATCGATCGAGCGGGTCGAACGTCCGAAAATCGAAGGCTCGCATCCATCCGGTTTGAACATTTCGAGCGGCTTGATTCACGCGATTCCGTGTTCCCCAGGTAGGCTGAAAGAAGTAATGACGTTGGAGCAGAATTCTTAAGAAACCTGGAGCCATACATTCAAGTTGAAGTTAAAGGTAGATTGAAAATTTCTCCGGCGAGCGGCTGTAAGACAGGACTGTAACAATACTGGGACATGCAGTGGCTTGGCTAAAACGAGTCGACGGAGAAAACAACTTTAAATATCGCTCTTTTTTCGTACAGTCATGTTTAAAAAGCAGGACTCAGGCAAGAGAAAAAATCACAATAACGTCAACATGACGTTATCAACGAGAGTACACGGTACGCGGAAAGAGAATATTATAATTTTTTGCTTTCTTTTTCATACAAATTCTTTTCAATTTTACTATGTTTTTAGTAATCCAAGAACAGACTGTCAGTAAAGTTTATCTTGTTAAAGAAAGTAGCAAATTTCGTTAGAAACATAGTAAGCGTTTTAATAGCATATCTCAATACGTAAGTAGCATATATGAAATGAAAGGTTGAGTTACTGTAGAATGTCGATCTATTCGTCGGGGTTACGAGATCCTATAGTAAATAAAAAATTTTATCCGTGCAGAGATGGATCGTTCTCCGTCCATATAAATGGCAGTGCCAATGTTCTACGTGTATTTCAGTGGGCTCCAGTTGCACCCCTGCCCGGTCTCTGCGCTTGACGGCGGGCAACGCGACGCGCGTGGCCGTTGTGGTTCCGCGCGGAGCGCGCAAACGCGTCTCTCGGGTCTCGGTGCAGCAGGCGCACGCACCCCGTCGTCGCGTCGCGGTCCGAGCAACAGAGTGCTGTGTATACACCCCCGCCCACGTATTATTTTGTGCGGTCAGCCCGAAGTCAGCCAGCCAGCCAGCCACGCTTCCTCCGATCTCGCGAGCGGACGGGGAACCGCCTGGCCTAGGGACAGCCGGGGCGGATGATGCATTCGTTATTTCACGAGGGGCAACCACGGGCCGCGCCACCGTGCCACGTAAGGAAGCTTTAATGTGACATCGCGGACGAGCATGATTCTGGCTGGATCAGACCACTTCCTAGCGGGTAAGTCCACTATTCAGCCGGGTCTATGTCAGCCCGACGACGATCCCTAGAGACCGTGTTCGGAAACCTACCGGGTGTCCCCGCGAGCGAAAGGACACTGCGAATGGGAGTGATCAATGCGTCCCGTTGATGAGCAAATAAATCGTGACCCTTGATTCAGGAATCGTGGTTTTTGATTCAGAAATCGTGACCCGTCCCTTGAACACGTCGGGCTTGATTTCGCCCGTTGCCGCTCCGCTAGGACGTCGACGATCGTTTTTCGGGAACTGATATCATGAATTCTGAATTCTGTATCGATTTGGACAATTCGACATTGATTTTTACGAGAGAGAAAGAGAGAGGATTCCTCGGAGTGTCTTTGGCGGCGAGAATCGGCCGATCGAGAATCCTCACGATCCGCATTGCGCAAGCAGGTTCCCAAATTTGAAGGCAGTGCAATACGCTCGTGGAAATCACAAACGACTGGCGACAGCGCGGAGCGCGATACGGCCGAGCCAGCGACGGACGACGACGAGCATCGTCGGGGCGAAGCGATCGCGCGTCGAAAATCGAACGGGCTGCCTGGCGCGATTGTGAATAATTTGTGCGCCTTTTTCCCTGCCTTTTCGTCGCGTATACGAGACTTATGCGTTGCACTTGGGGAAACGTGCGTGTCGACGCTGCGCAATATCGCGCACCGCGGCTAGTTTGTGTCACAACTGGAGCGATAATAAATTATTCCAGGTCATTACGGCGTAATATGTCGCCGCCGCGTTAACGCGCTCGATACAACACGCCGGATATACGTGTATAGTAGTGTTGGCCAAAATCTTGAGCTCGAAGTTTCGAAGATTCGACGTCAGAAACGCGCAAAATCAATTTTTCGACAAACTGAACTTTGCGAAAGGAAGATTTTTACATTTTTTCCGGCTTTTCTTGAGCAATACAACACGCCAAATATGCTTATGTAGCGCGTTGATTAAAATTCCGAACTCAAAGAAACGAAAAGACACAACGATTCGATGTTGGAAACTTGCAAAATCAATTTTTCAACAGCTTGAGCTTCATGAAAGAAGGATTCTTCCATTTTTCCGGCTTGCTTTGAGCTATACAATATGCCAAATATATTTACATAACGCGTTGACCAAAATCCTGAACTCAAAGATATGAAAAGATTCAACGTCGGAGACGCATAAAATCGATTTTTTGACAGATTCAGCCTCGTGAAAGGAAGACTCTTTCATATTTTCCGTTTCCTTTTGAGTAATACAACATACCAAATATGCTTATATAGTGCCAAAATTCTGAGCTCAAATAAATAGAAAGACTCGACAATTTGATATCGGAGAATCACAAAATCAATTTTTCGATAACTTGAACCTCGCGAAAAGAAGATTCTTCTTTTTTTCCTGTCTGTTTTGAGCAATAAAACACAAATATACTTATATAGCGACTCATAAAATCAATTTTTCGACAGTCTGAGCTTCGTAAAAGGAAGATTCTTCCATTTTTCTAGCTTACTTTCGGTGAATTCTTCTTGCCACGAATTTTACGCTTGCGAACACGAGCAATGGTCGCGCAATTTGAATTCTGTAGCAGAAGAAAAGAAAGAAAAGAGAAAGACACCCGGTATATATGTATCTACGAGCCGATTCGCATACATATTTGTTATCGTCTCGCGTTTAGCAAGTCGCGTCCATACAAGTGTACAGTTTTTCTCTTCTCAATTACGAGACTCGATAATATCTTCGATCTAATGATTGATAAAGTGCGAAGAACTCCTATTCGCAGTCTATTCGAGGCGTCAGCATTAACGAATTTTGCAACAACGTAAATTTTCGTAATAACGTACTATATATGACGATGCACACTTTAATTATTTACACGAATCGCTCGATTATTAACGGCGGGGGATTACATATCGATTACTTAAAAAAAGATTATAATTGCTAAATCAATAACCCCGGGTAAACTGTTGACGACCATCGTGCGGCTTCTCCCGGCGCTCGGTCAAAATATTCACCCGGATACCTTGCGCGGAAGTAATGAATCGTTAAAGTGTGCGAAACTTTCACGATAACCGCTTATCGAGCACACGCGCGATAGCTCATGGAGCGGCACATGTGCGTGTGCGCATAAATTAATTTGCTTCTTATCTACATAGCGAAATCTCTCTGAAAACGCAGCGTGGTAGAAGACGAGAGAGAGAGAAAAAAAAAATTCTCCGGAGGCAGCGCTCGGCCTTTTATACACCGAATATTCGAGGCGCGTTCTTCCTTTATTAAGTCTTCGCGAGAAAAGGGGAAAAAATCGATGACGTCGGAAGGACAGGGTAGATCAATATAAACTTGATCGCGCTAATGGGCTATCGGAAGTTTCTATTTCATTAGCACGTGACGGTGCTCTTCCGACGTAAGAAAAATATCGTCGGAGCAAATACTTATGTCACAAATTAAAGCTTCTCTCCTGAGAAATTGGATAGAGCGGCAAACGCGGAGCAGCGGCTGTCGGAGAGAGAATGAGAGAAATTGAGTCACGTCGCGTCGAGAAAATGTCGGTTCAGCGGCGACTGTCGATTGTCGGATGATCCTCGAGATTGTTGCTTTTTCTCTTTCATTGCGTTTTTCGAAATAGAACGCTATTTCCGTAGCCCCGCTGCTCGATCAATCGCGAGTAATCCGAACACGGACAGGGTTAACAATCAATTGGCGAAACGTTTCTCCAGCTCCCTGCAGTTCGAATGTGAAACTTTGTACGACTGAGAAATATGTACGGAAAAGACAATAAGAACTAATTACAGATGTAATTCACATGTATTTATATTAGGACCTTAACTTAGTTTCCGCCCGCAAATGTTAGATGGCAATGCAAACAGTTCTAGTAGTCATTACTAACGATACAGGTAGTTTGTGAT